CCAGGATTTACAGCTTGACCGCCAATAAAAACCCAACCAAGTAGAAATTTTTGGGAAGTAGACCACAAAACACATTAATAAATAGCAATATTGCGTTAACTTGCATATCATCTATATATATAAAAATGAAACCCGTTTCGCGTTGTCACGGCATCACGTGTGAACGGCTGAACCGATTTCGATAATTCTTTTTTTTAAATGTTTGTGGAAGTCCAAGGATGGTTCTTACGGAAAAAAATATTAAGAAAATCTCTACGCTAAGGCGGTACGAAGTTCGCCGGGTCAGCTAGTTATCAATAAATCCAAACACTTTTTCCATTACCAGCTCTTATCAGCGTCTGGGCGTTATCATGTCTTATCATTATTATTACAACATAATAAATAATGTACGTGTTTATCTCCGTGTGATAGTGTGTGAAATAATCATTTTGGATAATATTCAATAAGTTTACCTGGTTATACATTAGGTACCTATACATAATGTACTCTAAGACCAGTGGGCTGAGTGTGAGTTTACATCCTAGTGAGCGCGTTTAAAAAATGTATGAAAATTATAGTTTTTGAACGTTTCCCGCTAGGGGCGCTGTACAATCCGTCATACATTTAATGTCATTTTTTGACGCGCTCACTAGTGATCACGTTTAAAGAAAACTCACACTCAGCCCTCTGGTGAATGATTAATGAATCACATGAGAGCTTTATTTGGATCGCTATTTCGGTGACTTTTAAAAACGCTCTATTTTTGTTTATTTATTAAAGGCTCGTTTAAATATACATCGCATGACTAACACAATATTATGTTGTCTACAGAACTACCGATATCTTGTCCAACATGTTGGCACAACCCTTTGGCCCAATCTCACCATAATGTAGGTTTTGAAAACAAAAGATTGACACAATTTTTTTTTTGTGTTTTCATTTGTTTTTACCCGACTGCGCCAGAAGGAGGGTTATGTTTTTATTACTTATTTTTCTACTAATGGGTATTTCGTGTTTCTATCCGTCCGCCAAGTCACTGAATTAATCTAATTTGGTCTGACGTCAGTTGACTGTCAAGTTCCAGAGCAAAATACCTTAAAACAAAGTAAACCTAAATGGTGATAGAGTAAGCTATATTTAGAACGTTTAAAGTACCACAAAAAGGACCTACAAGTACAATAAACAATTTGAAATACGTCCGGCTGTTAATTACCTCAAATACAGGGTGTCTCGGGCCATTCGTGGCTAGATTCATGATGATATAAGGCCATAAAAGAAATACATAATTTATAAGAGACCAAACTTGACTGCTTCTAAACCCTCTAACTACTTACTAAGTGATATTCTCCGGGATCAAATTTTACTTATAATAAATATGCTTGCTGATAAACGTGGCTAAATATGGTCCGATTGGTCACATGCATCTCAAAAGAAGTTAAAAACACAGAGCATATACCAACGCGGCGCGAAAACAAATTTAGCGCATCGTTCATACATATTCATTAAAGTAAAACAATTGAAAGTCTGGAGGTGACGACGACGCATGATGCACCGTGGAGGTTGACCTTTGTTTAAAACTGTCTAGAATCCATATTAAGATAATCATGTAGGTACCCAAAGAAAGCAATCTGGGATATCTAGATTGATAAATACTGGATAAAAAGGTCGCGGAAGGTGGCGGACGGCGCAGGACCGGTCTTTGTGGAAAACCTTGGGGGAGGCCTTTGTCCAGCAGTGGACGTCTTTCGGCTGAAACGAACGAACGAAATACTCTACATTGCACACTATGGTCCTATCCACCATATTTGTTACATTACGTAGCCACTTTTGCCACCGAGTTTCTATTGGAATTTGATATAGCGTAAAAATATGTCTAGCTACTTAAATATTTAGAGCCTTAAAAACAAGAATGGTTTCTCATATTAAAAGTCCATAATCCATAATCTGTTTTAAAATTACTAACGACATAAAAGCTGTCCATATCCAAATGGTCCGAGCGGTCTAGCTCAGTTTAATATCATAAAACTAGATACGCCCGACGTTGATTGAGCGGCTGGCGGCGAGCCAGGATGCGCGTGCGCTCTATCACCAATCTTTGTATACAGGGTGTAAAAAGTTATTATAGAAAAGAACTCTATTGACACAGTATAAGTATCATTTATACATTAGGAAAATAATAATGGCAAGTAGATGCTACTGTGTGTCGTGACATGCTTACAAGGGACGTGTCAAGACTCTGTTAATATTAGGTTTTTCAAAATCTAATGTCTCCATAGATTAGCTGTCAAAGCAGTCGCCTAGCAACTCCTACAAGCTATAGGTCATAAGTTTATTTCCACTTTCCACCAGAGCAAGCGAAACCTTACAAATTGCAATAGTTTTTTTCTAGTTTGAAAAACATCTTTGCAATGTTTAGTTTATTGTATAATTTGGGATATTTTTAAACACTACATTAAATTTAATACCAGTTAAATACAAAAAAAAATGAAAAATACATTGTAATTTGTAATCTATTTTTTTCACCTGTATCTTTTGCTAATTGTAGTGGCGTGATGTTAGTGCTTAAATATTCAGCGGCGATGATCAGTTTTATATGAAAATGTATTTGTATGTAGACGGATCGACGCGTGCCTGATCGCAATCTTAATATGTATGCAGATGAGACCGATGCCGGAGCATGCATACCATCCGATGCGCAGAATCCGTATATTTCGCACCTTTCTATTGCTAGAGGCCGGTAAATCTATTCTCATAAATTCTGAAGAGTTTGTTTTGTTGAACGCGCTAATTTCAGGAAATACTGGTCTGATTTAAAAAAAAATATTTGGTATTAGATAGTCCAGAGAAAGGCTTATAGGCTATACAATCACGCTTTGACCGAAGAGCTCTGCTCCTTCGTCAATGAAAAATGTTGGGAAAACGGGAAAATTATTCAAATATATTTTACGCGTACGAACTACGAAGTCACGGTCATATTTAGTTGTCTATATGCACCGTACGCTACTAACAAACACTTATGTAAGTACTTTATTTATTCTTTTATGTGATATTATCAGCTCAATGAACCCCCAACGGTTACCTAATTAGAACAAGGTCAGGGCACGACGGGATATAATGAATAACAACAACAAACTGCAATGTAAAAGCAATTTTCCCATTTACCAAATGTTATTTTGGTCTAAGACCGTCTTCAGACGTTGGCCCCAACATTGGTCCCAACGCCAGTTGTCCAATATGATCTAGAAAACATCTTGTTGAATTATTTTCTAGCTAGATCCATAAGTAAGGACGAGTAGCGTTGGGGCCAACCTGTGGAGCCGGCCTAAAACATATGGCTCTAGCAAGTTGAGTGAACTTCATATTTTGACAACAGATGTCTGTTTAGTTATTCAAAATGTACGATATATTTTTCAGTGTTACGTATCTTTGTTTTTGTGGTGTCATAGAAAATGACTAATTTGTAACCACTTTATCTTAGTGAATTCAGTATCTGACAGAAAATGACTAAGCACTTTTACAAGAAAAGTATCACATACTTAAGTAAAGACCCAGCAATATAAATATTGCGGCATATACTCGTACATTATACATTGTACGATTTTACAAAATGTTGCTGTCGAGATGGAACCTATAAAAATAAAAGCTTTATTTTTATGAATAAGAATGTTACTATTGTTTACAAATCAGCATTTTCGAAATAGAATGGAGTTATTGAAAAAAAGAAAACAATGAAAATTACATATTTTTTCGAAAATAAAAGATTCAAACGCATGTGACAGTTCAGTGAACTTTAGAAATATTTTTACGATCGTTTCAACTGTATTTCGGTATGCAAAACAATGAAAATGTACTAGCGTTTTTCGCACAAAATTAAACATTATAATTTAGTTTGACAATAAGTGGCTGGTACAATAACAGTTCTGAAATAAAACTATAATAACGTTTTAAGTGGTTGTCCCATTACACTATAATTTATGATTTATCTGCCGAGCTCTTAGTTGGCGAACTTGAAAACAATTGCGTAGTTGCGGATTCGGGATATTCTCGTTAGAGAAATATCTCAATCCCAGTCGGACGCAGGTCGGCCATAGTAAGGACAATCTGTTCAAGTGGGGATTCATGGATGGCCCAAACTTGGAGTGAGCCCCCCTAGACAAAACGCACTTTTTGATCGAATCGAAACTCCAAACAAAAAAGGGGCTTTTCGACTGGTTTGCGATTATACCTAATTTGCACTTTGTCTAGACCCACAGGTGTGGTTTTGCTCCCCAGTCGACGAAACCCATGATATCGTGCCCTGCGTGCCCAAACAACTGCACGCAGGAAGATAAATGAAGGCTACTAACAACGCCACTCTTGTAGCGGAGATTTGTCGCCACGAAGCCAAATCTCCTTGTCGACACGACAAGAAGACGTCGAAATTATTGAACCTGCCATGTTCTGACCTATAAAACCTGGATGCTTGCAATCTAAAACGCCATATCGGCGAAAATTTTCAGGAAAATAGCGTGGGTATTTTGCTGCAATGTAAAATTTAATTAACATAACAGAGTTCAAATAGGTAACCTTAAAATTGATGTTCGTTAGTCTGATTAAAACTCGAGAACGGCTGGGCCGATTGAGCTGACTTTGGTTTTAAAATGTTTGTCGTAGTCCAGGGTAGGTCTAAACGGTGAGCAAATACGCGCGCGATGTTGTTTTTCTGTGACAGACAAAATTCCACGCGGGCGAAGCCGCGGGCGGAAAGCTAGTTATTTATAAATTATTGCCGAAGCTAGAAGGCAATTTCGTTGAGAACAGCGAGCAGTTTCGTGCAGTCAATTAGGATGGGAATTCTGCTTTGACTCTAGCCTTAATTAAAAATATACTGAAAACATCCTCTCATTTACTCAAAATTTTGTGAAAACTTTGGTTCTATTTTTCCTCAACCCAAAACGCTTTCAAGACCTGCATGCGTAAGCGCTCTATATTGTCCCTATCCTTATACAAATATACCTACATTTTAGAAATTTTGTCGGCAGTTGGAACCACGACGACCCACCTAACAGTGGTCCGAGTCAACAGCGACCCGACCCCGGTCAAGGACCACCAGGTGCCGGTGTTCCTGTACAGCAGACACTCCTTCGTGGCTGACCAGTGGGACCTGACCACCAACCAGGTAAGTGTCTCTTAACAGTCCGTGTACAATGTATACCTACCTCGATTCCTCAAAGCGCCCCTATTTTCAAACGCACCTGATGAAGCGCACCTTTCTGGAGAAAACAAGGAAAAAAAAGACTAACATAACTTTAAAAAAACTTGTAAATGTTTAATTTTTGGGAAATATTTTTCAATTTCAAAATTTACTTAAGAATGAAACGCGGCTCCTTTGTAGACAGCGAATAGGTTAATAATAATGTAGAGACAGTGTGTGGAAAATTACAAAATGGATATTATTGAAAAGATTGACCTTCGTGAACATCTGTTTTGATAAAACAAACTTTTTGTTTTTATAAGAACCATAGGCGGCCATTTACATTTATTTACATGAAGCTAAGGTTCCGAGTCCATAATCATGCGGAAAGAGTTTCCATAGAATACGATTAACTAACTCTTTTTTTTTAATTATCTTTCTAATAACCGTAAGATCAGAAAATTATTAGGTAACTAATAAAATAAAATAAATAAAAACCTTTACTCATCAACTCTTAAAATGCTTTTAACTCTATACAATTATAACCTTGCTATATTATTACATAATTCTAACTAGTAGGAGTATCTAACACCAAACTGTGAATGGTGTGACTAATATACTGATAGTAGACCACGCGTGCGTTTCCCGTAAAACGCAGCGTGCGCGGGCGCAACGCGCGCGCTTGTGTTTCCAGAGGTCGTTGCCCCACGCCATTGTTGCTCGGCTAGCAACACATCTCTTTCGTACTTTCTCATACTGGCAACACACGAAAATAGAGGAACGTTTGTTTTTCATTAGAAAATCTCACGCGCCCGCATATTTGTTTTGTCAAGCGTTGTGAAAAGCGCAGGCGCGCCGATTCATGTTTTTGTGCTGTAAACATCTTGGAGTTATTCACGTTTATACAGGGTGTTCCTAAAGTGTTTACATTTAATAATACTAAATATCTCATCTGCAATTTTCAAGTGACAAATTTTGTCTAGGACTTACATACAGAATGTCCAGTACCTAAGTCATGGTCCAATTAGATAGTCTGACGTGTTAGCGAAACAGGTATTTTCACTTGTAAAATTGAATTTTCATATAGATCCAGTTTATTCTGTAACCTATTGTGACGCGCCCCGCGACGCATCGACAGCCCTAGCACCGAGCGCAGAGATTTTGACAACCCTACGGCTGCGCGGCCGCACGCCGCACGGACCGAGCTAATATAAGAGACGGCGGCGACCGCGGGCGCCTAGCATTCGCTCGGGAGCCATTGTAACAGCCAGACGTTCGCGCGCGCGTCTATCGTTCCCTCGGCTGCATTGCACAGAGTCCCTAGCGAATAGCTATCCACATTGTTCCTTACTAACCCTAACTGTTCGACTCTGGCTTGATCCGATACCTCGTCATTTATCCGCGGCTTGCCATATAGCGTCGTGTCGAGACGTTCTATCGTTGATAGCCAACCGGTTCTCGTCCTTACCGAGTAGTGCATGAGATACTCATCCCGAACCTGCGGTAGCAATCCTGCTGCCACCCTTCCTGAACTTCACACCCCCTCACCTCGTAGGTCCAACGCCTTTCCCTAGTGGTCGTACTCACTATCGAGGCTTCGGTCTCTGGCTTGAGCTAACGAACCACATCCTACCCCCCTAGTTATAAGTATCCAGACTAACACTCGATAAACCTCGCATCGGGCGCCGCCCCTCTCGCGGATACGAAAACTAGCTAACGGGACGCGAATCGGGCGCGTCATTATTCCTCTTGTTGTAATTAGTAAATTGTGATATAACTTGTAAAGTACTCGTAAACTTATTATCGGCCGTTTGGTGTAGTGGTTCGAAACGGACTACTATTCCGGAGGTAGCGGGTTCGATTCCCGCACAGTACAAACATTTGTGTGCATGAACATATTTGTTTGTATTGGACTGGACTGGGTGTTTTCTATGTATAGTAAGTATGTATTTACCAAAAAAAAGTATTTAAGTATGTATGTTTAATACTTAGTATTATGTACAAGCTTTGCTTAGTTTGGGACTAGAAGCGCAGTGTAAAATGTCTAAGGATATTTATTTATTATTTATTTTATTTATTAACTTTTATCTCAAGAACAAAATCATTTTGACATATTTCCATACCTACATAATTCTTAATTTAAGAGTTATTCGAGAATTGGTGAAAATTAAATATCAGCCCCAAAACAAATATCTTTTCTATGGCAGAATACGTGTCGAAAGATGATTCAATGTTTAAAGTAGACACGCAGATATGAATTAATATGTAATAGAAAGAGAGGTCAATAAGACAAAATGACTAGCATGCAACTACTCGCGTATAAATTGTAATCACGCACTTATTACAATACATACATGATTAGTCCGTATGCGTACTGGCGATGTATATTTTGGAGTAAGATAATTGACCTAAGTCACTACAAAGTATACGCGAGCAGTACGCAGCATATGCGTACTGGTCGTGTATAGTTTGGAGGAGCTTAGTAAAAAAAGTCATCTCCAAACTATACTCGATTAGTTTCACACCCTTGCGTTCTGGCTATGTATAGAACGGAAAGACGCGTAGCAACGTTGTTTTAATTATAAAAATGTTAATAATAAACACGTTACACGCAACTAAGTAAGCGTAACATCGTAAATACGTATTTACCATTTGTAATTACAACATTACTATCCCATGACTATGTGTGTTCATGCCTTAACATCGAGCAAACCGCAAAAACAAACAAGTTAATTCGATGCCGGTTTAACGTGCCGAGTGATTTAATATCTATTTAGG